CCCACTACCGACAGCCAGTTAGAAATAACACTTTCCCGTTATGGCAACACATTGCGGACGCGCCTGTCAGGAGCGCAGTGGTCGCAGCTATTGTTGCGCCATAGAATCCACAACTAAATTACAACAATAACGCTTTGATGTTGCAGTGTAAAATGTAAGGCAGGCGGCCGTTGCCAGGAACATTAGAAATATGCAGGCATATTTACATATGTACATACATATACATGAACATATATGTGTACATATATAAATATGTATATTTGTATGTATGTACATTTGTATTTCTAAGTATATCCTTTAGACACATCACTATAATTCCGACTTATTTGGTAGGTGTTAATTTATTAGTGCCAACGCGTCGCTCTGCCATCGTCCTTCTGTTGACACACTTTCGTGTTCATGCGCGCAACGGTGCATTTTTCTGCATGCATGTACATGTGGAGTTGGAATTTTTTCTGCATGCATGCATGTACATGTGTGTTTAGTTAGAAAATTTGGTAGCAAAGCAAAGCGCTTGACGGACACATTTCTCATATTTTAAGAAATAGTCATATGCTAAGCGAACCACACACACATACACATGTTTATACCTTTGTATTATATATGTTGCCATGTATTAACGCAAGCATGAACGCCTGAGTAGCTATTAAGCGGAGTGCTGAGTGAGTGTTGGCGGCAACAGCTGCATATTTAGGAAATTGTAAGACTATAAAAACATCCTCTTCCCAGATGACAATTGCCATTATAGTGTTTGCATAAGGAAACTATGTCAACACCAACTATTATACATACATATGTGCATATGTATGTACATATGTATGTGTGATGTGCTTATGTGTGAATATGTAAATGTGGAATGATGCACAAGAATAACATTGTTACGAAAATATGGTAAAAATAAAAAAGTGCTGAATGGAAGGTGTTGACGCAAGTGCATCAAAGCAAACGCCAGAAATGCTATATTCATACTCATACATACATACAAACCTACTTACATAAGTGCATAAATAAATTTGAAGGACAGCTGTACATATTTTTTATGAATTTTATTTATGTTTTATTAAAAATATTGTTTTGTTTTATTATTTTTCTAAAATGTGGACGCTGTTCGAACTTTGACAATTTAATTTTGAGCGTCAGGAAGTGATTTAGTGCGCTCAGTTTTTGAATTATCAATCTGGAATTTTGCACACACTCTTTTCTCCCAAAGGTGTTTATTATTTGTTAAAATCGCCGATGTCGGACCACTATAGCATATAGCTGCCATACAAACTGAACAATCACAATAAAGTGCTTATATGAACAACTTTTTTATTTGACAAGATATATTCACGAAATTTAGTACAGCTTATTATTTAAAAGAATGTCACTACCTCTGAATAAATTTGTCAGATCGGTCTACTATAGCTTATAGCTGTCATACAAACTGATCGATCAAAATCAAGTTCTTGTATGAAAAACTTTTTGATTTGATAAAATATCTTTACGAAATTTTGCACGAATTTTTTTCTAATACAAAACTACAAACTCCGCACATATTGTTGAGATCGGACTACTATAAGATGTAGCTGCCATACAAACTGACTCATCAAAAACAAGCCGAAGATCTTTATATACACTTTCATTCTATGAGAAATTCACCTGTAACCGGTATCATGGCTGCGCTCCAGCCGAAGTGAACTTTTTTTTATTGTGTTTGAAAATTCGAAATTGACCTCTAACCCCTTAAGCAACACACACCACTTCCTTGTAGTTACTCGTAGGCGTTCAACTCTAACTCAAATCTGTCAAGTTATCCGTTTATTTGAAATCAAATGCGCACTTTTCCAGTTTAATAGCTTTCATTGGCCACTTTTGAGCTGGCGAATTATTCACACGCTTTTATTCCTATGCCTCAAATATTATAGCAACAACCGAACACACATACTCAACACTGTAAATGGCTTCATCCTCCTTGTGTGCGGCTTACCCAAATCATTTGTGCGTATTGCAACCCATTCGTGGCCTTTTTGACATTTTGAACATTTTTGTAAACGGCGAAAAAAACTTTTTCCATTGTCCGCTTTGCCAACTTTACTGTTTTTGAGTGCACTTCAGCGCGCAGCTTTTCTTTATGTGCCACTCGAAGCGAGTGAATGAAAATTGCGCAAACACAACGCTTCGAACACTGGCTTTTTTAAAACATTTCTATATGCATATGTATATACATACATACATAAATATGTACATATGTATGTATGTACATGCTCCTTAAGAACATAAGCGTAAGTGTTCTTTACTGCTACTTCAAATGCCTTAGAAATTTATTGAATGCTTGCCAGTTAAAAATCTTAGAAATCACTGCTTTTTGGGGTTGTAAATTTCCACCGATTGAGCGATTGAGAAATCATTGCATATTAAACTTACATATGCTTTTTATGTTGCTTTGAATGGTAGCTCTGACATTTTAAATATTTTTTAAGCAATAAAATAAAGGATGTTCAACATGAAGTTTTTGAAGAGAACCAATCCGTAAAAGAGGAAAGTGAAAGTAAAATTCCATTTACAAATGTAGATGTTTACTATATATTATATATGTAAATATGTATATATGTATCTAGAAATGTAAAAACATTTGTAAAGAATTAATAAATAAATTTCTATGTCAACCGAGCGAGAGTAATCCGCACACATATTTTGATAGTTGTTCTTCAGACATCCAAAGTGATTTACCCTTCGATGGCACAAAATCAACGAAAATGAGATTGAAAGAGTCAACTTTTTCGCCAAAAAGCTTTAATTCGAATCAAAATGTCTTATTTATATCAAAACTTGAACACCTCCAGGATCTTCTTTAACGAAATCATCGCAGTATTAAAATAAATATGCATAATAATGTAGCGATAAGGCTTCCTTAAGAGATTATATAGGTTTCCTTTTGTAAAAAACATAATTTTGTTTAAAACTTTTTTCTCATATATAAAAAAGAAATGTTTTATTAGAATTTTTGATTGTTAAAAACATACATTGATAACAAAGAAATAGTTAAATTTTTGCAAATAAAAACTTTAATTGGGCTATTACGACGCCGTTGGTAAGATAACTCCTTGTAAAGATCTGAAAAATCCAAAATCGAGAGAGACGACTTTGCAGATTTCACAGAATATTTTTGAAAATATAAACTATTTAAAAAGCAAAAAAACAATTTTTTTTTTTAAAGTATCACACTGGCTTAGCCCCTTAAAGACGACGCACTTGTCTTAGCTAGCCTCGAGTGCATAAGTCTCAAGACTGTATCTACGAAACAATTACTCGGATCAACTTGAATTTAAGACAATATTCTAGAGGTGTTGTAGAATTTAATAAGACAATCAAAAAATCGATTTTTTGAATCTTAAAAACCCATGTAACTCCTTAAGTTAATCCCTGCAGTCATCAAGAAAAGTGGCCCGTAACAAATTTTTCTTGATTTCCTTAAAAATACTACTTTTTAGTAGTTAATCTTTCGAATTCGGTGAAGTTTGAACTACTTTGAGTCGAACAGCGAACTGCTTAAAAGTTGACATACTATACAAACATATTAAACAGGTCAACAAATCTATCATTACTAATCATTTGGTCCAGTTTTTGCTACCATTTTCGAGAGCTTCCAATCCAATTTTTAAAGCAATACATTCATTCGATTATATCGAAAGACTCTCAGTGGTTCTTTATACCAAACTGAGGAACATCATGGCTCGAAAATATTTTCGACAATTTCAATTACTTTCTTTACGACATTCGAGCTTAGAACTGATACAATTCAAGGAAACATCATGGTAGTCTCTTCTTACAGATAAGTAAATGAGGATTGTACCGCGATCTAAGGTCTATTATGCCCAGTCTCTCCTTATGGTTTTAACAAAAAGCGCAAAGATTAAGAACATGTTTTGCTTTAACTTTTAAAGTTCAACAAATTCTACTGTCAATTTATATCTATCTAGTTTAGCCAATTAATGAGATTTAGGTTTTTTTCTTTTCATTATTGAATTTGTAGTTTTTCTAAAAAAAAAAAAACTTCCATTTTATTATTTACCAAAAGAGAGCAAATATCAAGAGATTAGCGATTCGAACAAACCACTGGTATAAATTACAGTTACTGGTATAAAGAAATAGAGAGATAATATCAACGGGAGAGAGAGAGAGTGTACTTTGCTGAACTCATTTAGGCAACATTTTTGTTGCTTTCACATATGAATGAGCAGCTAAGCCATTTTAGTTTGCCGAGGAGAAATCTTATTTATTTCATTTAATCCACATGTAAAATAGCATGGTAACTAGCACTAATATACTACACACTTACGTACATATACAAAATTCGGTCACTGACATTTGAGTCCTGCGAAAGAAAGATAATGCCTTTGCGGTTGCGGCCACTTGAACGGTTTACGAACGCACCCTAGGCATGAAAATGGCAAACGTGCGAAAAGGACAAGGAAATAGTAGAGAAGAAGAGGAGCACTGCTTGTGTGGGATAACATGGAAATTTTCAAGTGATTTATATTTGGCTTCAAGTACTTGTTTTCTTAAAACGCTTTACGAATATGCCAATTGTTTGTGTAGTTGTGTTGTTCCTTTTTTGTTGTGACATCTTCTAGGCGCCTCACTTGCCATTTGAACGCTGKGCGTTTGCGCCAGAGGCGCCAGCAAGGTTCCGTGGTCGCATACCCTAGGGTACTGTTTACACACATGTGGGTGTTTGTTTGGCGTATTTTATTTTAATATATTTGTTTGATTATGCTATGCATATACATACATTCATGTGGGTCTATGAATTACGCGCTGAATATTAAATATTTTCCTTTTATTTTATGTTTGGAATGATTTTTGTGTATTTTTTGTTTTTTTTGGTTCAGTTTCGCATTTTTTTCTTGTTTTCTGTTTTATTTTATTATTATTATTATTTTTTTTTTAATAATTATTTTTTAGATTTTTTTGTAATAACACTTTGCTCATAACGTCTCTCACATTTCCATTTGCAGGCGACAACACGCTTTCATGGCGGGCTCGCAAAAAGGCGGCGGTAGCGGAAGTGCGTCGCACAGTCCCGAAAAATTGCGCGGTGCCACGCAGGATCTCTTTGAGCTGTTGGAGCGTGTGCAGTGCTCTCGTCTGGATGATCAGCGCTGTGTGCTACCAGCGTATTTCTCACAGGTAAGTAATTTGTACCGAGCTTGGCTGTTTGTATGACAGCTACATGCTATAGTGGTTCGATCAGAGCAATTTCTTCCAAGATTGTGCCGTTGTTTTGAAGAATAATTCGTAACAAATTATGTGAAGATATCTTGTCAAATAAAAAAGTTTTCCTTACAAGAATTCGATTTTGTTCGGTCAGTTTGTAGGTCCGCTACGGGCGGTTCCAACAGATTAGCAACTTCTTGCAAAGGAAAGGACATGTGCAAAATTTCAGATCGATATTTCATAATTTCAGTGACTTTTCTTAATGCCAAATCCAAAATATCCGATTTATCGAAAATCCTAGTCGGGCCTAACCCGTAAAGTATTTTACCACTGAGCGCATCTGCGAATTATGGCAATGCAATTGAAGCAAATTCCATTCAGCCGGAAAACATTAGCTACATATATACCGTTATGTTTTGCACTGCTTACTCGCTAATATTATTATTTTGCCTTCGTGACAAGCATGAGCCACTCGTAAATTTTATTACACCGCATACACCTTCTTGCTTACATACATACATATATATTCATAAATACATACGTACATATATTTATGTATAAGCCCAACTGTGTGGCATTAAATTCGACAATCCGCCGATTGCGGCACGAAAAATGCACATGCCTCGAAAAATGTCATAAAATAAATTTTTGTGCAACCAACAATAACAAAAAGACCCACATGCCAAAAATAAAAATATCTATGGAAAATAGTCGTAAAAATAGGTAACTCGGATTATCCTTAAAAATCAAGCGAAAAAAACGCAAATCATCTTTCCACACTTGACGGCTGCCACGACCTACGGCAAGATATTGTCCATTGTGTGTAGACTGCAGCGCTGTGAGGTTGCTCGTGCTGCGCCTCGGGGCATTAGTCGCACAAATTTCGCTGCAGAGCCCAAAGATGTACGTTCGCAGGAGCAGAAAGCTATACATATGTATGTATATGTATTCAAGTATTCGTACTCCTGCTTAAGTCCGTGCTGCACAGGACAATATATGCATGAAAATGTAGGTATCTATGTGTACGTGTTTTGCTGCCCGTGTGTGTGTTTCGACCTAGTGGAGCGTGCCTGCGCTTCGAGCAGTTTTTGACAAAATTACTTTCATGACAGCAATAAAAAACATTGACATGTAATAAAAACATCAACATTGCCCACAACAACAACTGCTACTCATTCACTGAGTGTAGCAACAACAATACATACACATACATACATAAAATTTATTATAATAGTCATACGTGCAGTTAGTTTGTCTAATAATAAAAGTTTTTGTTGAAGTATGCAATCTCATCCTGCCATTGTCCCCAAAAAATAACACACACGCACACACATGAAAATATATTTTTTTCATAGTGCGTACATACATATGTACATGTATTGCCAATATAATCGGGACGTGTGCTGGTGCATTTTTAGTATGAATTGCATCTGCTGCTCTTCGCAAGGCTTTACGCAACTCATACTCCTATTTATAAGTAGTCAAAGCGGAGAATTTGCCGGCTTCGAATTGATTGGTTATATTGCTATTTATACTTATGCATGCAGTACTTACATGAGAACATATAATATGTACATACATACATGATATTTCTTCATATCATGTAGAAACTTGTCATCTAAAAGTGCATACTTACCACATTTTTGCAAAAGTCTCATGCCCAGTCTTAGCTAATGGGGCACAGGGACTGATTTTCAGACTCAGCTTTTTCCCAAAACGGAGTAAACTCAGACTCCACTCAAGCGTTAGAAAGCTGATCAGTTGTTTTAAGCAAACAATTTTCAATATAGTTGAATTCCAGAGCGGTGAACCAACAACAATACTATAAAAATAGTCCCAGTGCCTTCCCAGCAAGTATTTTGTTTAGTTCCGATGACAACGTCCGTTGTATTTAACGTGGGTACCTGCTGACGACAGCCTTACCCCATGACGCTTAAAAGCAGAGCGGATCAAATCAATGCTATGATCAGCACCTTGAAAATGCTAGGCATTTATCCCTCCCTCTCCACGTCATCTGAAATCCAATCATTCCGCAGCAATATCAGTCTCAAAAGTTGCGCGCTGTTCATTTAATTTATGGGAACAAAGTTCTAATAAAACTTTCAAAAGTTTAAAAACACTCAAGAACTAAATACCAGCCTTCCATTGGATATAGATAAGCTAACTATATAAGTACATATGTGATGGTAGTAGGCTCATTTCATCTAGTATATTCCGATGTAGGATAAGTTAGGACTATATGGACACCTTTGCATAACTTCCACTGCAATTAATTGTTGTTGTCCAAATTTATAAATGGGGAAACATTTTCTCAGCATACGATCTCTAAGCGAATAGCTGTGGACTCATCATTATTGATTTATTTTTCATCCTCTTGGATTTTTATGCGCATTTCATGAGGTTATCTCCTTAGTTAGCAATATAAAAAAAAAAAAAAACAGGAAACTCCCTCGATCTTGTAGATAACAGCGCAAAATTTTTAATCTTAAGCATAAAAATATTAAGAATCCTTTGTACCAAATTTTCGTTCTCAAAAGCAACTCTATATTTCAAAATTGCGCTTCAAACCATTTGTGCGCCGGCGCTGTGGACTGCTAAAATACGCACTCTTTTGCGGCCTCTGTAGGTAGTTAGCTGTAACCGCAGTGCAGCTGTATAAAAGTAGGTGTCGCTGTTGCTGAATCCAACGGTAGTTAGCAAGTGAGCTTCGACTTTGCTATCTATAGATGGCGCTAGAGCAAGCAGTGAGTTCTAAATAGGAATATAACAGTTAAATTTAGCAAAGACTCACACCTAATGGCTTCATTCAGCGGACGTTTCTTCTTTTGAGCAGTGAACGTAATTTTGGGAGTTTTAATAAAAGAGGGAAGAGAGAGCACGGTTCACAGCCGTCGTTAATAAATACCGTAAATAGCGGTTTCTTAGCACGTACGTGCAATATTTGCATGAATATTATTATTCTATTTGATATACATATAAGATTTTTTTATATTTTTATTCTTTTATTTAGCAAAAGTTTAACAGAAAAAATTGTTTGTTGCATAGAAAGAATTAATGTTTACATTTACATGTTTATATGAACAACTGAAGAATTATGCTATACTTTAAAATGTCATAGTATAAATTTGAAAATTGTTTACCAAAATCTAATTTAAAATCATTAGTTTGATTATAATATGGATTTTCTCTGCACTAAACCCTTCTGCTGCAGCAATGTGTTCAAAGTATTGGCTCAATCACTTTCACGAAAGCATTTAAATAGTGAGCAGCAATTCTTTAGAAATCCTAAATAGCGCTATTGAATTATGAATAAAAGCGCCTTGCTGCCGCACTGCCCTAGAAAATTACATAAGCATTGTGGCAGTCGCCAGTTTTCTGTTTTGTTTTTGYGCTATGCTTGCTTGCCTTTTATCCTTAACAAGTTTCTCCTGCTGACTTGCTGCACCTTTGTTCCTGCCATACATACATACATAGATGCACAGGCACATACATACACATATACATTTACATTTACACATACATACATATGTACATATGTTCATGTAGGTCCTCCTGTGAAACAACAGCAGCGAAAATGGGGCGTCGCAGTGCCTTTTGTGCGCTTGCAACGCCGTTCCGCCATCGCGAAAGGTGTGTTAAAAGGTTGTTGCTCCATTTCGTTGTAAATATTGCTGTTGTTCGTTGCAATTCGTTTGGTGCTTTGTTGTTGGCGCCTTTAAGTTTTTTCCCCCATTTTAGTCTTTGTTAACTCCTTGCAACACGCAATTTGGGTTCTTGTTAAAATAAAAACAAGATAACTGCGCAACAACTACAACAAAAAAGCTGTAGTGTTGAGACATGAACGTAGTAACAACTACAACAATAAAAATTTACAAAAAAATTTTGCTACAAATGACAACAACAATCATGTTTGTTTGTATGTTGCGCTGCAGCAAGTATTTTGCGTGTTGCTGCGCTATGCTTTAATTGTTGTTGTGACGCATAGCTTGTCGTACTTGTAGTATTTGCTTTAACTGCTAAATTTGTGTAAATAATGCACTTGTGGCTGGCGTGTGCGTGCAGCCGCGCGACTAAATTGCATGCATTGCGATTATTATGGAACAGTGAAGCCTGTAGAGAAGTCCAATTCTATTCAAAACTGATTTTTAAAGCAAAAGCAACTTTAATTGCAAATTTTTGTAATGATTTAATTTGTTTTGTTTTGTGAAAAAATTGAGGTTCTTAAATCGAGAGTTTACTGTAGCGGATTTAGTTATATAATGAATATGCTTTTACCTCGATTTTTTATAACACTTATGTATCTTTGATTGTGATATTTTTTGCTTTATGAACAAATTGAAGTTTTGCAAAACGGGAGTTTACTGTAAAGACATGATTTTTTTATGTACAAACATGTGTATGCATCTGATACCACAAAAAACATACATGTGTGTATGAAATGCGTTTATTTAATCGGCCTTATGAGAATATCCGTATTAGTGTGAGAATTCAAGCATACTTTTAGGCGCATAAGTGTGTTTGATTATTTTGAAGGATTGTTTGATTTGTGGAAGGATAAATTTGATTAGTTAGGTGGTTTTAGTAGTAAACAAATGTTTATATCTATACTTTTTCGTATACATACATATGTGCATGTGTATGTATATTTATATATAAAAAATCCTACTTACTTACACATACCAAATATTACGTTTTTAGTTTTTAACTTTAATTTAAGGCAATTATATGAGAAAATAATTCGCAAATTTTGCTATTTTTAATACTTGCTATTTTTTTTTATCTGAATATCCCTGTGTTAATTTTTCAATATTAAAAAATT